TTCTTGCAACGATCGCGAATTAAACCCGGGGTTGTGCCGTGGTAACCTAGCACGCTAACCAACGAGCCACCGAGGGCTACTTCCCGTGATACCTACTGGAGGCTAAATTGTATCATATTTGTTAACACAAAACCACGTTTCCAAAGGGTAAAAGCAGGATCTTCATCAGAATTAAAATGTGGCATTGAGATAACTTTGATTGTATGAATCTTCTTCCCATTCAGTGTTTTCTGAATTCGCATCACATTTCTGAGTTTTGTATATTCTTGCACATACTACTCAAAGTTGTTGCGTCCTTGAGAGTCGAATCTTCTAATAAATAAAATAGGACGCTGTCGGAATAAACCATTCGGCATGAGCAGTCACGTGATCGTGAATGTTGGCATCTTATCGGTTACATGGGCATGTTCTTTATTGTTTGCAACAACGCTGTAGACAAATTGGATTTTGTCTAAATCTCGTGATTTTCCAAGTAAAATTATTATAGATATATTTCCATTTCTCTTCAACATCAGGACAGAATCAGCAGATGACACTATTGCATTACAATGGTAACTCATTTTCCCGATGGGCATTTATTTTGCCATGAACGCTTCTCATATTTTCGTCATCATTCATTCATCATAGTCGCCCTACAATATTTCATACAATAAAAGGAATATGCTAACCAACTCAACATGTGCGTCCTCCCGTATCAACTTTTTAGGACGCTGATTCTAAAGATGTAATCCAACAATTTTTTAAGTGTACCAACGTTTTTAAACCACGACGTCACTTCCCGCACAAACAGAATCGTGGGAGGAGTTTTTGAACAATGATCCAACACATTGTACCAGCTCGCTCATCGCGCAAAACACGGCCCGATTTGCAACACCATGTTACGTCACAGAAACGCGTGTTCGGAGGAGCTGATCCGCACGCAAGTGTTGCCGCGCGCCGCCACCAGGAAGCGGTAATTGATTCGCGGCGCAGCACATTGGGGCAAGATCTCAAAAAACTGGCCAGAATATAAAAACGAAATATTTAATAAAATTTTATATACAATGGTTTTTAGACACTCCTTTTGATTCTAATGTCAAAATTGGAGAAAAACAAATTACACATCCAATATGACGGATCAAAAATTAAAAATCGTCAAAAATGTTTTAATTTTTATAAACATTTGTAAACAGAGTTATGGGTTTGCTTATTCCAATTCTAATGTTAACATAACAAAATAATAAGGATCCAATATGACGGATTAAAAACTGAAAAACGTCAGAAAATGTTTCTTCACGAAATGCATAATAGTAGCTTTTTTTACATAGGCTTACATAAGCATGAGCTAAATAGTAGGAAATAAAGTTTTTATAAATGTTGTTGAATAACTCTGTAGAACTTATATCAGTTTCCATTTCAAAAAGAACAAATAAACTGTATCATTTTGTTTAAACATTATTTAATAATTAATTTTGATATGTTTTTTAAGTATTATAGTAAACATTGTACTCACCACAACGATTTTCGTCCATTTTGAATGATGAAAATTACTCAAAACCGAAAACAGCTCCTAGCTCAATGGCTACGTTCCCAACGCTGCAGAACGTCACTGTGAGACCTCGGACCTTTTCTAACCGCGGAATTAGACACCCTGGAAACCAGTCCTACCAACTGCATACTTAAAATTCCCTAAATAAATCCTGACGTTTCGACTTTTGGCCAGATTTTGGATATCTTGCCCTTATTTAATCTTTTTGAGATCTTATGCGCGCCTTGGTGCCAGTCACGCGCCGTGAGATGCCACGCGCCTTGCAATAAATTCGGCGGCTGACAGTTCGATTCGCAGAGCGCGTGGCTCGCGCTTGTTCAGATAATTGGTGGGTCGGGCGCTTAATGCTCCCTTAATCCCGGTTTCACATGCATCTTATTACACAAGCGACACGTGGAAATTACATTGAATCACGATGGTTGGATAATTCTCGGATGACATTTCGCTAATTGTGTAATCAATATAGAAACTTAATAGTGGGATGTAGAAATATGGTCAAGCTGACTCGTTTCATTTATTTTCCTAATTAATGAAATTAATTTAATTGAAGTGATATAATTGTTCACACATATTAATATTTGAGTTTGGTTATTAAGCATAATCCACCCGAAGGACTATGTTTTTATATTTCAGAAACTGGCAATCCTATTTGATGTTAATGAAATTCATTCCATTAGTGCATTGTGCAGATAAAAGACATAACTCTCACTTTCCCTCTTAGCACTATATATATATATATATATATATATATATATATATATATATATATATATATATATATATGTATGTATGTATGTATGTATATGAGGTGTTTGCATCAGGAGTGTAATTGAAAGTATAGCAGTTAACAAAGGCGTTGAATACGTTTATTCATTGAAGTCTTAAAATATATAGTTCTGCATTCATAAACGTTTACAAGGGTTCCACATAATTCTCGCTAAATCTGTCGTATATGAAAGGCATTTTCTTTAACTCCATGTTTACTACTATCTATTACAATACAGAAAATAATGAATTTTCTTGTCTAAGTTATATTACTTTACATTACAATAATCTACCAAATAAAATAAACGATCTATTTTTTATTTTAGTTCAAAAGTTTGTAATTTGGTTAAATTAAAATGTTCACAATTACACTCGTGCAGTTATTTGCCTCTTTGTGATTAACTACATTGAGTTTGACAACTATTAATTTTAACACAATTTTCCAAAAGAATAAATTCCCGACGTATATTTTCAACTACGTATATTTACTCTAAATAATTTGAGTTCAAAGCGTTTAACTAATACTTCATATTATTTTTATACTATCTAGATTCGTGCGAAAAGTATGCTCTTCACAAATATTTGTTTTTAAAGTATGAAAATAACTGTAAATACTGGACAAAATACAAGTAGTTGATACGACTGGTTTTTTTAATATATTATTATTATTATTATTATTTTAAATATGGTTATTAATTAATTGGGTCAATTCTGTTAGCTTTTTGTCATTGCTGGTACTTGATCCCAAGTGGACGCGCGGCGTACACCACGCTACATTTCTGAGCTTCTCTTTCTTGGAATTCCGATAAACAGGAAATTCCGATACCTAATACTCTACCGCCAGTTGTTGCTCTACCGATTGCGAGTCACTACGTATTTTTCTTTCTGTCGGGTGAGCTGTGTGCAAACTCTTTGACTTTTCCCGTTCATTTAGGCGTACTGTGTAAGCCGCGCGTTCAGTTATGTCAGTAATTTAATTTTTTTTACAATAGAAAGTTCGCGTAACACGACTAGCGCTCTTTTAGACACATAGTTTGGACTAGAAACACATTTGGAAGAACAAATCAACAATACCTCGTCAGACAATGAATCGAAAAATGAACAAATGTCCGATCTCAACAGTAAATCTGAAGAAGACATACGCACATCACCATACAATAGTGATAGCAATATCTACTTTGAAAACAGAATAGTTTTTAAAAATAATTTTCAAACAAAATACATGGTGGAGCAAGAAACAAATTCAAGAAACAAGAAAGTCGCAAAACTCGCCATTACAAAGCAAATTTTCTAAAACACAAAAAAATATTTTGAAGAAAAATATTCCTGCCGCATAAACAAAAGTGGCTAATAACGTGAAAGACGAACTTTCTGCTATTATCATTTTCATAGACATTTCACATAAAATTGTCTTGTACACAAATAAGCACGATCATGCAAAAACGACTTTCTGACAGGCTGGATTCTTGTAAATTTATCAACTATTTTTCCCCATATTTCTGTTGTACTTCGGTAAAAGAACGAAGGTGTAATTTGTAAATGTTCGAATAAAATATTTTAATGTAATAAATACGTTATTTTTAAGTATTTACTTATATTTTAGTTCGCAAACAGAGAACCTGATTAAAGAAATCATAGTAGGATACCTCCTCAATATTTAGTATGCAAGTTAATAATTCGTTAGCGAAGAAATAATAAAAATTACATATGAAAAATTGAAATAACAATCCATGTGTTTACTTTCATAAAAAATAAAAAAATAAGGGTTTACAACCTTTCCCCAGCATCAACCCCTTTTGAAAGAAATACTTGCTTCAACGACCCCCTTGACATTGTTCTACAATATACAGAAAACGATCATAACAAAAATAATTGCGCAAAATTATTTGATAACAATGACATAGAGAATATGAACAAAAAGTTTTGAGAAAATGGTTTCTGAGATTCATGTTTTGTTTTTTTAATTTTGTTTTATTTTTTTAAGATTTCTAATTTTAGAAATCTATTTTCTTTAGAAATTGTTTAGTATTATTAGAATTTTGAAATGTTTATAAAGATAACTATTAATAAATGAATTAATATATTTTTTGTAGAATCTTATTACACATGTTAGGGCATATTCGCGTTCTCGACCCTCAATCGACTACTCGATCATTGAACCACTTTATCCACCAATTTTATCGCCCCCCGAGTGGGTCTGTACCGACCCGTTGGCACCGGGAGACGAGGCTTATCAACTGATGTCCCTGCAGTCCTTCTGGCCGGGAGGTTTTAGATTCAAGTCCCGACGGTGGCAGGATTTTCGATAATAGCTTGTCAGATTGGTCGAATTCCGTCGTTGTCTGAAGGAGAATTCTAGCGGCCGGCTGTTCTGATGGGTAGTTTTTCAACATCAAGCGAGTGCCGGAGCTGTACACTAACAAACGGGCCACGGACCGCACGCGTACTTGCCTTCCTCTTCCTTGCTCTATCCTCACTCCTTACACACACTTACTCTAACATGCACTACACTACCACACATGCCTGGAGTCCGTTTGGAAGCATAGAGCTTGTTCCGGATGGGGTGGTGGGAGATACCTGGTTGTGGGAAACCCCGCTTGCCGACGGCTGGTCTTCCACACTACACCTACAGGACTAGTGACTCTAGTGGTTGCCTCGCCTGAATCACTACCAATCAATTAAATGAATGAATGAATGAAGCGCCCCCCCTCCACGCCGGTGTGTGCGCCGTGTGTTGCAGTGAAGCCGCTGAGCGCGACCATCGTGACGCCGCGGCAGCCGCTGTCGGCCGGGCGGCGCGTGGACATCGAGTGCATGACGGCGGGGTCGCGCCCCGCGGCCAAACTCTCCTGGTGGCTGGACAACCAGGCGCTCGACGCCAGCGACGACAAGGTCAGACGCACCGCGCCTGCTCGCATTCAGGCCTTTCGCGTTGCACTGGAAAATGCACTTTGAAAACACCATACATTGACCAAATGCATGATTTTTTTTTCAAGTGGTTCACCGAGTTAAATCTCTTACATCAATGAAACCTGTGTTTTATTTTTTATTTTTCCTCAACTACACATCTTAACCATTACTCTTACTAGTAAACGTTGCTGGAAAGGCTTGTTAAGAAGCGGATACAGCGCGTGCTGTGCTTGGAGAACGGAGCGGCACCGGCCTCCAGACCAGTGGCTTCGTGCGAAGCCACTGGTGTTGGGCATTGCCCTCCACAACCCCATTGAAGCCTCACCATGCTGGATAAATACCCGCATTCACATGAAATTTCACCAGGTGATACAACACGTAGCAAAACCCACATATCAAACTTCTGAAGTGACAATGAATATCATTGAATATCAGAATATGTATTTTAGAAACGAGGGATGCAGTTCACCGGATTTGGTCGGAGTAGAAACATTTAAATAATTAGTTTGCCGACTTTTCGAAAACTTTTTACTCCATCATCAGGGCTTACTAAATACTAACTTACTAACAGAAAAATTTCACTATCACTCAGAAAAATTTCTTTCCAGCAACGTCCACAGGACCGGTGTCGCGCGGCGATTTCCGCGCTTTGGCAGGCAGTAAAGTCATGAAACGTCTGACTGATAATTATTAACACAAAAACATCTCTTACAACGCGTCAAAGTCCATAAAAAATTACATTCATGGATTTTGAAAGGTGCTGAACACGCCGGTAAAATCTCCCGTGAATCCGAGTATCCAGCTCGGTGCGTTGCGTGTTAGTGGGCTGTGAATCAACTGCGCGACCGAGTGGGCATTCAGAGGTGCGAACCGGAACAGCTCCCGCTATTTTACAGGCCTCGCAATATTACTTGAAGCAGGTCGAGATATGCATGTCATATTCATCTTTCTCATGAAACTATTTCTTTATATCGGAATGAATATGCGGAAAAGATAGTCGAGTGTAGGGCAGAACAAGTTTTTTTCGAACGATTTAGAGGTCAAACGATACGCAAGACCTGCCTATACTTCCCCCCATGAGAAACCGACTTGATTCTCCTCCTCTTTCAATCTTCTCCATCATCATAGTGCGGCATACCTGCGATGGGTATAATTATAAAAATTGTTTCTCCTAGTTATAACGACAATTCTCAAGCCTTAGGGCTATACGTCAAATGGCTAAAGGCTCTTTACGGGTAGGTAATTATAAACGTTTGATGTGGCTGATGACGGAGCAGCAGCGAAGGGAGTGGAGGGGGACACGGACGAACCCCCAGGAAACCAGCAGCCATCCGGTTTGGCCCCCTCCAACACCACACGGATCGACAGGGGCTCGAACCCCATCGGTGACAGGCGAACGTGCTCTGGCCATGGATCACCTCAGCAAGTGGTTTCTGCGATCCACCGTTTCCGTGGTTTCTGGGATCAATATCGGCGAACGCCGGAGCAGTATTTTTAAAAGCGGTACTTTTAAAAGCGGACCACGTGCACGTTTTCCTTCCCCTCCCATTTACTATCCCCACTCTTTAATTGAACACACACTTCCATGCACTGCACAAGTCAAGAGATCAGTCAGGAGCTTAGAACGTGTCCCGGCTCGCGGTGTCGCCTCGCTGGTGGCGATACACATAGGGGGAATACTAGTAGTTCGGCGTTGATCTCACGTTGCAGCAGAACAGAAGCACTGTCACCTCTCGGATTTATCATGCACTTTACGAGTACTCGTGGATTCGGCAGTTGATGCGCACGAAAACGCAAAATTATCTATAAATTATTCAATGAACCTGGACAGTTTAAAACAGAGCCGACGTTATGCTAGTGCCGACCGCCGCGGCGACCTCTCTCCCCCACTAGCAGCGCTCTTGCGCCTTCGAGGCCAACGAACACAGCATTTGCCCCTCTTCAGAATAACCAGCATCATCGCAGCGTCCCTGGTCTTTTAACCGCTAACATTTACTTTAAGAATTAAACAACGGCAAGTAATCTACAAATAAGCGTTTCTTAGGAAGTGGATATTAATGAAAACTTAAATCACACGGATGCCTTCTCAGTAATTTTCAACTCCAAATTTACTTATTTAGAAGGCAATTTATTACAAATATTGACCATAATTTAAGATTCTGTGTGGCTACACCGAAGGTTCAATGCACTCTCAATATCAAAACTGTCGACCACATGAACGAATCACAATTTAGAAATCGCGGTGGTACATCGGCACGTACTTTCTCGTATTATTGAAAACGGTTACGTAATGTTTTAATATTGCCATATCTGTCCTGCTTCAGCAAGTACTTGAGAAAGTCAATACCAATTCAAACAAAACGCCTGTGGTGCCTAGATGCAATTATTTCGATAGTTAGAAACAGTAATTTTGTCTTACTATTACAAAAAAACAAATGTGAATAAATATCTGCTGTCATCTATTCCTATCCCGGCACAAAGCTTACAGTTGGCGTCGTTTCTAAGAAAATATTGTTTTTCCTTTGCCCATATTTAATTTAAAAAATGCACAAAATTGTTAATATTTTCAAAAAATGTACCTGACATTTGAAAGAATTGATAGTGGACAAAAATTTAATTGAAAAAAATATCTCTTATCTTTAATAAAGTAAGTCACAAGAGGCGGTTCAAAAAAGTCAACATTTTGCATTTTCGAAATATTATAGGCCCTATGACGTCTTTATAAATTTAAGTATAGCCTTACTTTCTTTTAAACAAATTGAACTTTTTGACAAAATTTTGAAAATGCCCCAGGGTCTTAACGTAAAGTACCCCCAAAATTTAAAGAAGTATTTTTTAAATTGCAGGGCTTTAATACATAGAGGAATATTCATTTTGGCAAAAATCCTACGAATGGTTTAGGTGATAACGTTTGTTGATGAACAGTGGGTTGGACGTTTTGGCGGGGAAAAACTTTTTCCGCATAAAGATGCCACCAAATGTGGATTTTGACTGCTCTAGGTATTAGAGAAAGTCATTTACTACTTATACGAGCATACGATTATCTGTTGCAACATGAAATACACGTTGTGTTGTATTAAAGAGTCACAAAACTAGTTTTCTGTAAAAACTTCAATTATTACGGCATCACTACATAACTTTCTCTAAACTTGGTATATTACTACGTAAGTACGAGAAATATGAGAAAAGACAAGATAGTAAAGTGTTCAGTATCCAAAAAATATTTCAGTACATATTTTTCAATAAAAACCTTGAGGTTTCTTATTGATGTTTCCCCTCAATAAAAACGTAATGACTTTTAAATGAATATTCTATACTCTCTGTTTTGGTACAAGTGTAATACATATTAATACATGCCAGTGTTATTACTCCCTTTCAGACTCAATTAACTCTCAGAATAGACACTAAATGGTCAGTTTTAAATTAACGTTGAGAATCAGGGTATACATTCAAATAAAGTCAAAAGCGAAGTAGAAAATAATTAATGTGGTGCAAATTGATGAAGTGCCACGAATAATAGTACTGATGTTCCAAATAACTCCTGTAATGAGTTACGTGCAATCACTTTCAATACAAAAGTATATAGATGAGAGAGCTTTCATAAACGGGAGCCGATAATGAAGAACCGAAAAAATAAAATGAAATATCGTTTATTAATAGAGAAGTTCCACTCCACTTATACCGAGCTTAAAGTGAATGATTTCAGGAAATCCTTTCAATTCTTAAAGGTACATGAATTCTATTATAGGTTGAAATTTGAAGCAATTATGTAATGAATATAAATAAGATATGAAGTGTTATGAAATAGTAATTGTAAATAAGAATAATTATTAGTTTTCATGAGAAACACGATGTAAAATGTATGCTTCTACAATAAAGGTTTTGTATTACAGCCTTATAAACGACCTTTTCCTTTAAAAAAATCGGTCATAAAATTGTAACTTATCTCACAAATGAGTACGTGTTTGCCGATTATTGTACCGTTGACTGCGTCATCACACATGCAGCCAATCACAACAAGAGAATTGTGGGGTTATAGTGGTAACCAGAATAGCCGACCACCTTTTTGTTGCACAGACGTCTAATACCCGTGGCGTTACAATAACGTTGTTCTAAAAACTAACTTTGATTCTCTTATGAATCTCTAAAAAAATCAAGTAGTTTATATTGTTGCTTTTTTGTTTTTGTACAAATTTGATAACTCCCTCAAATTTGAAAAGTGTTTTCCACGTTGCAATCGTACGCCATATTTGTAAACGTTGCTAAATGTCATTTCGCTTTAAAAAGGAAATACATTTTTTGGATAATCTATTTCTGGAAATGAATTATCTTCTTTAACTAAGAAGTTGACGTCATTACTTGTTTTAAACCTTCTAAAGTTTCTAATGAATTGCTTCGATATTGGGGGGTATGCTTAAGTTCTACGCAGGGCTTATTTCTCACGCTGCATAAATTCAAGGACCCCTTTTCAATATTCTAAAAGGCGAAAAATATAGTATAGATATTACTTGCAACCACAATACAATTAAAGTTTTCATAACTTTCAACAATCTCTAGCTAATGCTATCGTATTATTACATCTTATATTGAATTCTCAAATAGCATTCTCCGACGCTTCATCAACTACTGTGAATGCTTCATTACAGAAATTGAGAAAGAATGAATCCTGGCAACCTTCTTGGTTTTTTCCAAACAATTGTCAGTTAAACAAGAAAAATGGCGAGAATATTACCGAGAACTTTTAGCAGTATATTAAGCAGTGAATCATTTTCTGTCTCTTCTTGGAAAGACATCCTTTTACAATTTACATCGATCACAAATCTGCCATTTAAACATTTCAATATAAAAATGAAAAAAAAACTTCTCGAGTTCAAATTAATGAACTTATTTAGTTTCGCAATTCCCAGCTGATGTATGTGCACGAATCATTTCTGAATTATTTACAAAATTACATTTGGCGGGAAAAAACTGCGTAGACGTTC